CTACATTTTAGGAAGAGCAGGATATGGAGAGTAAAAATAAAGCACTTCCAGAGGCATCCCATAGAGTAACAGACAAGCACAAACACTACTTAATATATTAGGGGTTACTGCAAAAGCATGACAGGAAGGCAGTCAGGTATCTAGAAGCCTAGACTAGGTCTATCCAGCAGCATTAACACCTGCCATAAAATCTAGGTTATTGCAGACATGTGGCACACAGAGACAAGGCTTTTACCTTCAGCAAGCTTCAGTTCAGAAAATTCTTAACTGGTGTTTGTGCTTGATAGCACAGCTTTAATAACGCTAGCAACACTAGAAGAAGTAGGAATAAAATTCTAAACATAAGATCCAAAGCTACATGGAGTCACATTGTAAATTACAGAGGCCCAAGGAGGTAGCATAGGCATTTCTTACTCCTCATTCTCATCAGGATGATCAGTTTCAAATGATGCCAGCAGGCAGTGGGCAGCTACAACAGCTTTAGAAACAGGGTCTCTTGCGCTTCTGAAGACATCATTCTGAACATCACCTTATGGTACTGGCTTTGAGCTTCAGAATTAATTGGGGAAGCAATAACCCTAAACAAAGTGATCTCTCCCCTGCTTGCTGTGGGGGCACATGCAGGACATTGCCACTGTGCATCCCATTCCCTGCACCCCAGTGTGAGCAGCAAAGTCCCCATTCTGTTCCCACTGAGGGACCCCCAGTGCTGGGAGGCAAAGGGAGTTTTGAGAAGCACCACGAGGACAAGACCACAAGGGAATGGTGAGGGGAAGGGAAGGTGTCATTGGAAATGGAGAGCATGAATTTCTGATTTCTGTGCTGCCCCTTGCAGGCACCGTAGGTGCCACACTGGAGTGTGTGTGTGTGTGTGTGTGTGTGTGTATGTGTGTGTACACCACTCTGCAGGTGGCCTTTCCAAGGGCACCCTGGTCCTGACTGAAGGGATACTGTGGGCCTGAAGGTGACTAGAGGAGACCGTTTTTGTGGCAGAGTAATGAATGTGATTAAATCACCCCTTCCTTTTCCCCCATTCCCTTTCTCCTCCGTGTCCAGGGCTCCTGGCAGCAGCCCAGGAAGTCATGGGACAGTCTTGGTCCCTGCAGGGCCAGGAGCTGCCTGCCATCCATCCATCCATCCATCCATCCATCCATCCGTCCGTCCGTCCGTCCGTCCGTCCGTCCGTCCGTCCGTCCATCCATCCATCCATCCATCCCACGCTCGGTCTCGTGGCTGCAGCCCGGCGGTCCCGCGGCAGTGCCGAGTACTCCGGGAGTTTCCTGCCGCCGCCCGGGCACCGCTTCTCAGCTCCCGGTGGGAAGGACACCCGTCGCGTCTGCGGGGCACCTCGTGCAGGTGCCAGCACCCCAAAGCCACCCGCAGTGCTCCTCCCGCCCCGCCGGGCGCTGCTCCCCGGGGCTCCCCTCCGCGGAGTGCGCGGCTCCCCAGCCGCGGCAATGGAGAAAAATAGAAGATCATGGACTTGCCCGCACGAGCCTTTATTCCCTTCTTTCCACTTTTTAATCTTTATAACAGTTGTTATAAACTAGCCCTGCCTCGGGACTTTGCCACGCTCTGAACCCGAGGGAAGTGAAAGCGGGAGAAGAGGGCTGGAGGGATGGGATGGATGAAATGCAAAGTTGGTTTCCCTCCGACCTCCCCCTCCTCCTCCAATTCAAAATCAGGAATTACTGCCCGAGGAGCAGATACTCCGTTTTATTGGCTCGTAAAAAAAAAAAAAAAAAAAAAAAAAAAAAAAAAAAAAAAAAAAAAANAAGAAGTTTTCAAAGCCTAATTTCCACCAGATACATTGATTTTCCGTTGAAAACAGAATTAAAACAATAAGCGCGAGTAGGTGCCATTAAAGCTAAACCATCTCTGGCTGTTAATCACGGGAGAGAAGGATTAGAAAAGTCAGTGAAGGAGCACTGGGTTTGATACGCAAAAATCCGGAGTTTAGGAAAAGTACGCTCAGAGGGAGCTAAAGTAGCTTAAGAAACAAGGAGAAACCTTTAATAAGAGTTAAAATTCAGTGTCAGGTTACTTGTCGATATTGCGAAGAATATCCCGTTCCTGTAGGGATTTGTGGTTGTGAAATGCATCCCTTGCTAAAATACCGTTTGATGTTCGTGTCGAAAAGAAAACCAAACCAATCTTTTTTCCGTCTAAGTCTCGATTTCAAAACACAAAACCCAAAAACAAACAAACAAACAAACTTCCAAAAACTTCCAAAACCAAAGAAAATAAAAACACCCCAGAAAAATCCCACTAAATTTTCAACCGCAGTTTTGAACAGCTTTCCTGGAGATATTTGCTTCAAACCTCACGGGCGCAGTACCCCTGTGTTCCCGAGGTTTCCCTGCCCTCCCTTCCCCCTTTTCTGCTGCTTGGATGGTCGGCAATGCCCGGCTAAATAATTGCTAGAATTCGAAAAAAAAAAAAAAAAAAAAAAAAAAAAAAAAAAAAAAAAAAAAAAAAAAAAAGGGGAAAAAAAAAAAAGCCGGGAAAATGCGCACCAGCATTCAGGTGCTAACCTACTTATTTGAAAGCAATTTATTTTCCATTTTGCCCGTTTTCCCCCTTTAAAACAGAACGCTGAAAGAAAGAATAAGTGCTTTAACATTTCAGTGTTGTGCTCTGGTAATTACTTTTTCACTTTTCCCCTAAGTTCCAATGTGAAAACCTCACAGGGGGGTCTTTGCTGTAGCAGGGCTACAGTTCCCAATCCCAAGCGCAAGATCTGCAATTACAAACCCATTCGGTGCCCTTCCCTATCATTAATATGCACAAAATCCTGCTGCTAATCTTATAATCTGTTTTGTTTCATCAATTGCTTGCCTAGCACCAGGCGGGAAAGAAAAAGAGAGAAAGAAAAAGAAAGAAAGAAGAGAAGAATAAAGCCGGAAAATCACGGAAAGCTTCGGAAAGTAAACGGAAAAGCCAAATAAATCGGATTTTATGTTTGATAAAGCAAAAATCGTTAAGGCTGTTAAAAGGAAGCAGGATTTTCCGCTGGAGGGGTGGGTGTCAGGGAAATTTAAGGAAAAATCGGAATATATCCAGCATTTTATTTGCATATTCGATTTCTTCGCGTACGGGTCACGAAGTTCCTTCAGCAGTCAGCTGAGGAGGAGGGAGGGGGCTCAGGAGAGTGCATTCCCATCCCTTCAGTTTGCCGAGGGAGAAGAAGGCGCCGAGCGCGGGCGAGCTGTGGGTGCGGGTCCGGGGGCGCCCCCGCCGCCCCCCGCCCTGCCTTCCGCAGCTCCCGCGGGCTTGTCACGCCTGGCCATAAAGACTTCAGTAAAACAATGAAGACATTAGTATTTGAAATCGTCCTCATCCTACTCCTCCCGCACCCTCCCCTTCTCTCCCACCCCCCCGTCCCGCACCCCCCCGCCCTTTCCTGTGCGGTATAAAGGGAATAAAACCATCTACACCACACGCGTCCTATTGAGATTAATGTCAAAATTATTCCAAAAGAGAAAAACTCCCAACCCACAACAACAACAACAACAACAACAACAACAACAACAACAACAAACCCCCAAACAACCCTTATCTCATATATCTTATTCTCCGCGCCCCGCGCCAGGCCTCGCCGCCGCCTTGCCGTGCACCTGATGATTTATTAACGCAATCTGCGGGGAGAGCGACACGCGTGCCCGGCTACGGCTCGTCCCAGCTCATCTCCTAAGTAATTGTTTCTCATTAGTTCTGATAATGTTTTAATAGTGCTGCCCGTAATTTAGTCAGCCTGGAATTAATAACGGAGGGTGTCCTGAAACGCGCGGGGATGAGGGGGAGCTGCAATATAAGCAGGTAGTCTTTAATTAATCAGATTAGCCCGGAGGTCCCCGCGCTGTAAGGGATCCCCCGGCGCAGCGCCTCGGACGGGACCCGGGTGGCGGCGGGGGAGAGAGGGGGGCCGGCCCTCGCTGCTCATCCCCAAACCCCGCGGAGGGGATGCGGGGGCTCCGCCGCCGGCCCCCGCCCGCCCCGCGCTCTCGGGACCGTCCCGGCCGGGAAGGACGGAGGTGAGCGGCTCTGCCGCTCCCGGGCCGGGCCCCGGGGCTGCCCCCCGCCCCCTGCCCCGCTCCGCCGCCGCTGCCGGGCCGGGCCCCGCCGTGTCCCCGCCGTTCCCGGGGGAGCCGCAGAGAGGCGCTCCCGCCGCCCCCGCGCTCCCTTTCCTCGCTGCTTCCACGCGGGCCGGATGGCGGGGTTCTTCCTCCCCCCCCCCCTCCCTTTTCCTCACCCCTTAATTAAAACAAAAATAACCCGAAATAAGTGAAGTCGCTGCTCGGAGACGGACGGGAAACATACTAAGCGAGAAAACGGGAGGAATAAGGCACTGTGGCTCCATACGTGAAATGGGCATGGAGGCAGTGAGAAATGAAACTAAAAAACAACTGTTTTCTATTTACAATTTTAAATAAACAGAACAGCCTTCCCCGCGGTGTTTGTCTAAGTGCAGCAGCATTGCTGCTGTGTAGGTCATGAAAAGGTTGGTGCATAGTTTAAAACTTCCCATTCTGTTAATTTCTTAAAGAACAGTCGTTCATAGTCTGAGCACAAAAGCTCATGATTTAATGAGGAACAGAAACAAAATCTCTGATTGTTGGTGTTTCAAACTTCATTGGAGTCCTCTGGCAACCACAAGTTGATCCTCTGCAGCTTCAATACCCTTTAGCCCTCCATATAAGAGTACATGCTGAATAGAGGACAATGCCTGGTTGTTATGTTTATTTACCCTTACTACAAGCTGGGTTAACCTCTTCAAAACAGCTTTACTAAGCCCGTTAACCACACAGCCCACATGATCTGTAGCCGTATCCCTAATGTGATGTAAATCTGACTCGAGACCATATGCACAAGTTCTGCTGCATTGTGTCTCCAAAAACTACAAGTTTATTGCCGTCCAACCCTTCCCGGGCTGGACGCTTCCAGGAGGAAACTCTCTGAATAGAGTCTGTTTAAAAAAAAGAGAAGAAAGTCAAGAGTCCTGCATTGTTGGAGCATTATTTTTAATGGCTGTTGCACATTTACAGAAGGGCGGTGTTGGGGGGAAAGCAAAGCTCACACAGGGTGAAGATTTTCATCGCAGTTATTTCAACGGGTGCATAATTATTCAAGGCTTTCTCCTTTCTGCCAGGAGCTCTGCATCAGAGCAGGAAGAAGCACAGAAAGAAATAGAAACAATTGAATTAGTTTCCATCTGCCCTTTCAACAGAGCTCAGGGCTCATGTTTTGCCTTTCTCCTTCAGTGAAGACATACTACCGCATTTGCAGTAATTACTGTGATGTCACAGATTTGATGATGCAAATTCAGTGGAGGCTATGTGTAGAACATGGGCCATGCAGGAGTGAGCAGTGGTTTGAGTTGGGAATAGTTTTAATAAGTAGCAATTCCAGCAAGCAAACTATGGCAGATCTGCAAAGTGGAAATGAATTTCTGTTTAAGCCTGACGTCTTTAATTTTACACCCCCCTTCCCCACCCACAAAGTATTATAGTCATCTTTTAAAACAGCTACTGGGGCCCCATGGCGAGAGCTTCATTTACCAGCTCATTTTTTCTTGATGGCTGTGGCAAGTGTAACAATGTTCTGTGCCTGCTTCAGTAATGGCATGTCGATCATGCTCCCACGGAAAGTAAATGCTCCCTGGAAAAGAGAGAATATGAACTTCCTGAGACACATTTGGAAATCGTAGTTGGCGAGTCTTGCTCTTTACAAACACATCTGTTTGCCAAGAAACACTATCTCCCTCAGGAATCCTGAAAAACTTTTACGAGACAAAGTAATCGAGACAGAGCAACTGTACTTAAAGAATTGTGAAGGGCAACAAGCCTCCTCCAAAGAGGAGGCAGAAAGAAAGAGAAAAGAGAAGCCCAGGGTGCAGCTGGCCTGTTGCAGCCTCTTGAGCTGGCAAACACTGAGAGCAGTGAGGCTGTGTGTACCAGCTGGGCAGAGGGGCTGGCAGACACCACACCTGGGGGGGCAGCTTGCTCCCCACCTCCAGCATCACCATCCAGCATCCATCCAGGGCTATGCCACAGGGCAGCAGGAAAACTGCCTGCAGACAGAGGGCAAAGTCAGAAGTTTGATTTGTCAGTAAACAGTGATGGGTGTTTGTGGGGGTGGAGGGAAGTTTTCTTGACTTGGGGGTTTGCTGAGTTTGTGCTGTGGCTGCACCTCTCCATAAGTCTCCAGTGCTAAAGAGAGGTTGGGCCTGTGCCAAGAGCCAGCGACTGGGATGAAAGCTGAAATAACCAAGTGGGTGGCACAACAATATTGCCCAAATCTCCTCTGGAGCCAAGGTAAAGCCCACCTGAGCACCACATTTAGGGAATTTCCCCAAATGGATGCGGAACTACTCTGTGTGCCTCAGAGGTGGTGATCTCAGAATTAGGATAGGCTTCAAAAGTCACTTTGTATTCTTAAGGATTTTTTGTTGGTACCATGGTGACAAGTTTAAAACAATTAACCATGAATCATAGTTGAATCTTAAACAGAAGACATATGCTTTAAATAGTGCCAAACCTGACTTGTTCCTTTAGATGCTTTAATCCCCTCGTGTCTCTGAGGTAGGATTTGAAAGACACTGCATTAAGACATGCTGAAGTTCAACAGACAAAACCAATCTTATTTGCAATTCTTACAGTAGTTTGACACATTAAAAAAAAACCAAAACAAACCCAAGCAACAGACTCAAACATCCAAGTACAAAGGTGCAATCCCTTCCCTGAAGAACTCAGAACTGAGCCCCAGCACTGCATAGGGCAGCTCTGAGAAGCACTGCACACCTTTTAATGTCCTGCTGCCATCGATACGGGATCACAGGCTGGCCTTGGGTTTGGCAGTGAGCAAGGCTAACCAAGAGCAAGGTGCAGTCCATAGCAGCACATGTGTCTGTGCATGGGCAGTGCATGAGGGAAATGCACAGGAGAAGAAACCTTTTTATGGTTTTTATTTGAGGCTTGATAATTATTAAATAGAGGACTCCAGCAAGTAAAGTGAAAATATTGCCCATTTACAAAAATATTTAGGAAATGTGTTGCTCCAGTGGCATATCTAGCTAAACTGAAGAAGTATTAATTAAATACTAAATCTTGCTCTGGAATAATTAAGACAAAAATCCACCTTTAACAGTAATCTAACACAAATCAATATTTTTGCATGTAAGAGCAGGCTGAATTAAAACCATTGATAATAAATGGCTTTAATATTAAAAACTATTCTTTTATTAAAAGTCAATTTTCCTATTATAATTTGCAATATTTCAGGTAGGTTTGGAGAACTGTACTGACAGATACTTAAGGGTTGGTGCTTCAAATTTAATTTTTTGTTTACTGAGTGAATGATCAACCCTACTGTACCCCAACACCAACATCAATATTATTATTGTTACTATTAATAATATACCACTTCTAATTAACTGTCGTGAAAAAAATCGGGAACTAAGTAAACATTTTATGACATAAGACTTGGAATAATTAATGTCTATCCAGTGATCACAAACTGCAAGGTACATTTTTTTAAACGGTAAGAAAAATAAAATTTACTTGTTCTTTTTTTTTCCTGTAGGCATTGAGTAATGCCCATTCAGTAACAGCTAATTCAGTAGCAAAATAAAGAGTAAGTCTTCAGTAATAGCTGTTCCTTACAGAAGAAATTTGCATGTGGGATGACAGTCATAAGCAGAAATATGTTGAAGCTTCAGATCATGCTTCCTAGTTCTGTGAAAGGCTGGCTTAGGAGTGCAGTTGTCCTAAGTACTTGCAATGGCTTGCAGAAAGAGATGGGTGCCTAGCAATCAATGTCAGTTCTGATCTCTGGTGGTCCAAACCATGGCTGAGAGGGTCTAAACCCTTCCACCGACTGGATACAGAATGATCTAAAGTCAGATACCCCTGCAGGTATCTAGGATGTACCACGATGAATCTGGGCCAGAATGTCTTCTTTATAAAGCAAGAGTTAATTAAGCTTGTCTTCTCTTCATTAAAGTAATACATTTAAAAGAAAAACAGGATAATGGTGTGTATATGGACACACAAACACTGAACCGTGTGAGAAGTGCCATACATTTCCCGCTTGTCAGTGTGCAGCTGTACTTTGGGTTGCTAGGAAATTGAATTCTTGCAGGAAAAAAATGCCTTTTTTTCCCTAACAGCAAAGGGTAACATGAAGTTGGCTTCTCTGCCTGTTCACTCTGAGGCTTATTTTCCCCCTGCTAATTTGCAGTGTTGAGCTAAAGTCCAGAAAAAGAAACTAATTTTAATGCCATTGAATATACCCTATTCACTGACTCTCTTTGCACCCACAGGTTTCAACAGATAGGAAATACCAGTAATTACAGCTTTGTCCCCATGCTCTCTTTTCCAATTCTGCTAGACGAAATTTGCATCTAGCATTCTTTTGATTTTCTCTCACATGAATATAAAGAAAACAAGACTTTCTATAAACACCATTTGCTTTGATAGCATTAATCTGGGGATTAATTTAGCCATAGATCTAAATTTTGTTTTTGGCTAATTTTCTCAACAATCTCACACTTCCAGTCTGTACTTAGATTTCCAGTAGTTGTACTATGGGACAAAGGGCCTGCTCTTAAGGAATTTTGCAGCATGAACAGGAACAGTGGCAGGTGGGTAATGCAAGGCTGGGATTTGCATCTATTGCATTTGGTGGCTGTGGTTCTTGCTCACCATGCAACCATATAAATCATTCAGAGGTATCCTTTTCAGAAACCTGTAAAGGGACTTTGCCATCAGGCTCATCAAATGTGTCAGACCTGCCTTGGGAAGAGACAGGCCCTCCAGGAAAAGGCTGATGGGAAGGAGCATCCAGCAGGCAGAGCTGCAGATGATGGGCACAGCTTCTGGGTGACAATACCTGGATACAAATAACTCAGCTGGGATGAGAAGTGGGGGAGTGGAGGACAACCGTGGCACTCACCAGGCAGTAGTCTGGAAGTGCAGCCCTACTGAGGAATGGGCAGATTCGTGGACCAAAGACTCTGCCCCTGTTTAAAGTGACACAGCACAGATTCTGCTGTGCCTACTCAGTGCCATCCTTCATGCAGCCACACAGACAATGTGCTGGAAGCAAAGCCCTGTGAGAAATAGGGTGACTTTGGTCTGCAGTGTATGGGAACTATAAGGGCATTTTGGCTGGTCCACATGGTACAGCTGTGAAGGCTACAACACAGCAGAAGGGTTTGTAAATAGAAATGTCTGTGCTCCCTCAGCCTGACGGCTCTAAAGCTCTGTTCAGGGCAGACTACCAAGGAGGAATCAAGGAAGAAAGTGAATGGGCAGCAGTGCCTGTTTGGGTCAGCATGTAGACTATCTAAAATCCTTCCCAACTGACTGCTTGTCTTTCCCTTGACAAGCAAGGAAAGATCAAAGGTTTTTCTTTCTGGCATGAAGTATTATTCACAGTGACATTTAATGCTCTATTAGGACAGTGGTAACATTTTTGAAAATGCAATTTATGCAAGATGCAGGCCAGACCGAGTAAGGTCTTAACAGCTCTACTTCAAGTGTCAGTACATCCTAAAGTGCTGTAGGGATGGGGAAAATAAGATTTGGAAAATATAGAAAACAGCTGCTAGTGAATTAAAATTATAGACTCCATCAAGTAAAGTGAAAATATTACCCATTTACAAAAATATTTAGGACATGTGTTGCTCCAGTGGCATATCTAGCTAAACTGAAAAGTATTAATTAAATACTAAACCTAGATTTATTAGATTTTTTTTTTGTTGTTGTTATTTGGGTTTTTTTTCCTCAGAAGGTAATGTCAAATGTTGCTCTTGGAAAAATGGAAATTGACAATGGTCAGCTCCAAGTGATGCAAGGATCCAGCCTACAGGCAAGAGAAGGCATAAGGCATAGTTGACACAGAACAGTCATTTTCACAGGTCAAGACATGAAGATACAGGCTCATGATAAAGGAGGGCAAAGCAGTTGTGCAATAAGAATAACAAATGTAACGAATTTCCAGGTGGTTGTGGAGACACCGAAGAGATGCAGAACTAAACTTTGTAACACACTAGTCTGACAGATTTTATGCTTGTATCATATGAACTTCCTTTTAGATAAATGCAGCCACTTCAGCACAGCTCAGACCTAGCAAAGTTCAACATGTAATTGAGGGCTCTTCTTTGACAACTTAGAATACAACCCTGGCTGCATGCTGCCATGGATCTTGAACATGGCTCTTGTTATATCTAAATGTCATCCTTAAAGATTTCCTTTATCTATAAGAAATTACATGCATCAAGTCACAGAGAGAGTCTCAGCATTGGTCGATGAACACATGAATGTAGTGTTTCCTAGAACATGAAGACCTCTTTTTGTGTGTCTCTCTCTTGTATTTGGGAATATTTACTTTGTGAAACTTTTGGGAATGGTTAAGAGCTTGGTAAATCTGTAAGACCACTTCATAACCACAGTAATACTGGTTTTTAGTGGCAAGAAGCTTTTTGCCTTTCTAGAAGTTAAATGGACAGGATTCAGGGTCCATTATTTCAGTGTTGTCTGGGGATCAATATTCTGTGGTGGAACCAGGAGAGGGGAAAAAATGATACAGGTGCTAGTGTTTACTATGGGTATAATGGAATTGTGTTACATATGGAATTGTGTTGACTTTGACTACAC